GTTTAGGGCAAGCTCTCTCCAGCTGCCGGGGTCACATCACGCTTTTCAAGTTCCCAGTTAAAGAAAACGTGGGTGAGGAGCTGACAAAAGGCAGCCGGCACTGAGCAGCGTGGAGTGTGGATCTGGGAAACACATTTCTGACCCAGATGTAGAGCCGGTGAGGCTTCGTGATCCCCAGGTTACCCCAGTTTTTCTGCCCTCAAGTATTTCCCAATGAAATGGAAGAGAGCAAGGGCTTGAAACCCGGCCCGCTCTCTTCACTGGAAACCTTCGGAGCTGCTCACGGGCGGAGTTCTGGTTCTGACAGTCAGACCCAGGGTCAGTGCGAAGGGTGGGTGGATGGCGCCCATCTGGGCCAAAGCCCGTGCTCAAAGGCCAATAGCTACTTTTCTATCTTTGGTTTGCTCCTGTGTGGACCATTTTTGGAGAATGACTGTGATTTATGTATACTTTTATCCTGTAAATTAATTCTGTGATAACTGTTCCAAAATACTTTATGAAACTTCTCTTTCCCAAGAATCCTTATCACCAAAGATATATTTTTCAACCATAATATAATATATTTAGATACTAACTTAAAACACTTTTTAAAAGTATCAGCTTGGAAAACAAGTAACATTCACTTTATAACCCTTGGACTCAAAAGAAAAAGAAGGAAATTATAAAACACACAAGTTGCAGATAGAGCTTAAAAACATACTCCTGTTCCCTTCCTATCTCCACAAAATCTATCTCCGTATTTTCTATCGTTTGTCTTTCATTTTGCTCTTTAAACTATTTATACGTTGGGTTTCCCATGCAAGAGACACCGTGAAGGAGGCTGAGCATGGAGGAAGGCACAGGGAGAGGAGGGGAGGGAGGAAACAGGGGGCAGATGTGACATGTGCACGTACCAACTGCCCCCGTGACACGACGCATTCATCATGTTTCCCAAAAATGTACTAATACAAATTTTAAAAAACAAGTCAAAATGTTAGGATCACAACATGTTTTTACTTTTCAGATAGAAGAACCCCTGGCCCACAGAGCTGCCTTTTGATCGTTATGAAAGATAATTTTTGTTCGCAGGGAGATCAGCATCAGGAGCTTGGCTACTGCCACTCTGAGAGACATCCTGTGAAAACTGAACAGAAGGGCAACCTCAGCGGGGCGTGGTGTTGCTCATCGGTAATCCCAGCACTTGGAGGCTGAGGCAGGAGGATCGTTGCAAGTTC